TTTTCAAACTTGATTTCCCACCAAATTTCTCATTAATTTCTCACAAATTCTCACCACTAATTTCTCACAAAATCTCACTACTAATTGAACACCACATTGACCTTATTTATAGGCCACGGATAAGCTGTGATTTACATGACACTAATAATGTCTAAAATTGAGACACATAGGGCATTATGATTTAGACACATAGAGGACATATGGAGCATGGATTTTGAGACACCTCAAAATTGGACACTAAGCAAGGGTTGGTGGACATCTATTTAAAAATTCATAATAACTATATAATTTTTTTTCTTTTCTTTTGAGTAACTTCACCATTTTAATTACTAAATAATTTAGAGAAACTGATTATGATATTGAAAAAAAAAATTACATTATGCCAGATAAACTTTTTCATTTATTTATCTAAATTATTACAAAAGAGATTTCATAAACTCCAATAGATATATTTTTTTTTCTCTTAAATTTTCAACTTTATTAGTGGACTATGAAAATAATATTTTTATTCAACGGATATTCCATTTATGTTAAATCTGGTCAGACCTCTTCAACTGGAATACTCTTTTATCAACAGCCCTTTTTATTTGAGGAAATTACCAAGAAAAAATCTATTTTTTGAATTTGATTTTGGAATCTTTGAATTTGTCCAAGTAATGGTTTTACTCCGTGGGATGAAAATTCGTGGATCTATTTAAATTTATTTTGAAAATAATGTTTTATATATATACTTTTAAATATTATTTAGTTTGTGTACTTTGTTGTTTGTTCAGTGGATAAAAGAAAAAAAAAGACTTTGAGTTAGGATACCTTCCTATAATTTAAATTAAATTAATATTAATATTGGTTAAATAAATTTTAAAAAGTTTTTTTAATACAATATATGGGTGTGGAAGTTTGCACCCACCACCTTTAAGCGAGAGATAAATATCTTAATGGGTTGAATATGGTTCACATAAATCGTAAAAAGTTAAAAAAAAAATTAAGTCTACTTTTATAATATGATTTTAATTTTATCCCTTAGTTTTTGTACCTATAATGAGGTTAATTAATTTAAAATTAAAAAAGTAACGATAGAAAGAAAGCATTATACAAATTTGAGTCATAATTTTCTACAAAATACATTAGTACAAGATAGGTGTATGGAGAAGTTTGAAATATATTTATATTATAATTTTTTTTTTTGAGACAAGAGAAGTTTGATATATACTTGTTAGAAAATGAAAAGCATATTAAATATGGAGTAAATATACACATATAAGTTCAGCCCATATATATATTTTTGTGAAAGAAGCCCATATTTTTTAGTAAGTTCAGCCGAAGCCCAAATACATATTAATTTTTGTTTTAAGAAGAAAAAGAAAAGGAAAATTCCTACGGAGATTTCCCACTACATTGAACTCGTCTCCTTTGTAGGAATCTCCGCCCTTGTTGCTTTCAAATTGTGGAGACTGGCGGGAGATGGAGAATCTCCGAGCCCGCTGCCGACTGATAAGCGTAATTCAACAGTAAAGACATATAATTTCATTGGTTTGAGATTTGAGGTTGAAATTTCTACTTCATATTTATAGCCTATTTAGAGACTATAATTACATAAATGAATTAAATTATATAAAATTTACCCTTTTGTCATGAAATAACCTCATTTTATGATGGTACCCATCACCCAATTTACTAACACATGCTTTTGTATCTCACCCCAATATTAATTAATTTTAAAAATTCAAAATTGACTACGACGTTAGATTTTAAATCCCTTGAAATTTGTCTAATTAAACTTTCCAAAAGTGAAAATATCAAATCTCCAAAATCCTCCATTATTGAAAAAATTCGAAAATCTCATTCCTCCGACTTTTCTTCTTCTTATATCGTTATGTTTCTGTCCATTCTTTCGTCTCCGGTCACTGTCTCTGTTCTTCTTCATCGTCGAAACAATTCGTCTAACTTATCCTTCGTCTYCGACCACCTGTCCATTGTTTCCGTCCATTTATCCCGAGGTTTCTTTTTGTCGCCAGTCGCCTGTCGATCATTCCAGCCCTCCATTTATCCCGGCCATTGTCTAGTCACCGGAAGGTTTGTAGGTTATTTGCTTTGTTTGTTAATTGTAGAGAGATATAGTTGTATTTACTTTATAGCCAAATATAGGTTATATCTTCGTATAAATATATATTATAATGGCTATAATTTATATCACCATTGTTAAGTATATGTTGCTTAAGTTTTGGATATAGTTTATATTTCTATATAACTGAAAAAGTCGGATATACTCTAAATAAATAAATAAATAAATATATATATAGGCAAAAAAATGTAATAAAATGAAAAATTATTTATAATAAATTTCATTATTTAGTAAAATATATTAAGAAGTAAATTTGGAGATTATGATAATAATCGAATATTTTGTAATAAATTTCATTCTTTAATAGAATAGATTAAGGAGTAAATCAGAGAATTATGAGAATGATTGCTTTAGGTCCCACAATCATTTAATGTTTACAAAATAAAATTTGGAATATTAATAATTTACATTTAAATAAAAGGCAAATTGTAATAAATATAAATATCATAAATAAAGGTAAATTTGACATTTGAAAAAAGTTTTAGATCTAAAAATCTAAGACTGTAAAATTTGTAAACATTGAACCATTTGTGAAAATAAATTTGTAAAATAATTTATCCAAAACATTATCTCTATTTATTGTACTATAAAAAGTACAAAGACCAGCTAGAATGATTGAACTTTGATGGATGAAAGTGTTGAAGCTGGTTGTACTCAATATTATTTAAAAAAATTTATTTCATTTTTCCTAAGTGTATATATAAACTTTTTTTTTTAATTGAAAGCAACTGAATCAAAATTACCAACTAGAAATAGAATGCACTTAAAGGTATATTTTACATTAATACCATTAAAATTATATTTAATTCAATTTGAGTTATCTGACATATAACTTTTTATCTACCCTGAATAATATTAGGTTAGAAAAGAACTGGAATAGCATTTTGACCTAAAATTATTTATAAATATATGTTTCAATTTTATATCATTTGATTATTCTTTTACATTTTTCTCTTCAAATAATTTTGTAAAGTTAATTGATTAAGTCTCTAAAATGTAATTTTGAATACCAACTTAAACTTTAACTTGACTAATCAAGATATAAGATATATATCTTTAGCCAAGTGAAAATCGATAATAAATTCTTAATAAATTATTATTTCTTTTTGATAATTTTTGAAATTTTGAGTCACCCCATTTTATTATTGTTTTAGTTGAATTGGATTGTAGTTTGATTAATGGATAATCAAATTGGTAATTGAACTGGTCGGCCAAATTCAATGGATGAGGATGACCCATACAAGAAACTTGATGGGAATATAAAAATAAACAATAATATTTTAGTGTCAAATTTATCAAAATACAAATAAATTTAATTGAAAAATATTGTAGTCTGAGAAATTGTTTCTTTAAAGAGACTTATTAGACACGTCAGATATTCAAAGGGACTATATTATTTGATTTTGTCCTATAATAATTTTAAAAACATCATTTTATTAAAATAAGTTTATTTAGGCTAAGTATATTAAATGATATTTAGTGTTTTAATTCTCAATTTGGTATTTAAGTTGATTGATACTTTCAACTTTTCATTTATTTAAAATTTTCGTTAAAATGTTTATTTGGATGATTTTACTCTCCGTACTTTTAAAATATTTGTTTTGGTTGTGTACTTTGAAGTAGGTACCATTTTGGTTTTTCAATTATGGTTATAATATATTTTTTTCTATCACAACTTCAACACGACACTAAACTCATATATTTTTTTGAAATGTAACAATAATTTTGTATTAAAGAGTTTCTTATATGTGTAGAATTTGTGTTAAAATTTTGTAAATGTGGGGACAAAAAATGATTATTTTTCAAAATTACAGGAACCAAAACGAACATTTTAAAACTACAGAACTAAAATAAACTAAACTTGGGAGTACAAGTACCAAAATGAATATTCTGGAAGTATAAAGATTAAAACGAACAAAAAAATAAAATAAAAAATAAAAAATAAAACTACAAGGATCAAAATAATATTCTAACAAAAAAAATTCAATTAAATCATTTCATAAGAATATAAAATGATTGAATTTTTAAATTATTGAATGGTTAACATATTTGAACACACCATGAACATGCCACTAGAAAGAAATTGATTTTACTTATGAGAAAATTAAATTTTGCCTAATGATAAGTTATGGATCTAAATAATATGTCTACACATCTAAATAGGTTAATAAAAGAATAATGGAAAAGTTACCTCTAAAAGTTCACTTTAACTCATAAGTTTTTGAGAAATAGATTTAAAAGGTCTAAAAATTAAATTTTCCATCGGTACCCAGACACCTTTTTATCATTACAAAAAATGATTTCATCCACCTTTTAAATCTATTTCTCACGAGGTTGAAGTGAAACTTTAAAAAACTAAAAAATAAAAGTTACCTATGTACTTTTTCAGTATAACAACATGTGGGGTGGAAATCCAATCCACAACGTTGTGGTCGATGATATATGTATTAACCAGTTGAGTTATGCTTAAGTTTGCAAATCAAAATGATATATTAGTGAAAATTCTGTAACTAAAAGGATAAATTTTCCAGAAATAATTTAATTGCACATGTTAATATGAGCGTAGTTGTAAGATCATTAGGATAGTTGAATCCTCAACCTTCATAATTATTAAACTAAAAGAAATTTATGCTGAAATGTTATTTTAGTTATTGAGTTTATTTTACTTGATGTAGTTTAAAATATTCATTTTTATCTAGATATTTCGAACAATTTATTTTAGTTCATTTATTTTATTTATTTTTTATTTTTTCCTATTACAATTCCTACCAGGGAGCTCGAGGATTCTCACTTTATGGCCATTAAAAAAAATCCAAAAATAAAAATATTATTCATGAAAATTGGAGATTTTCGATTTTCGGAGTTTAAGATTCTTAGAAATGGTGACGATACTATGTCCACATCCTCTCTCTCTCTCTCTCTCTGTATTCCATGGAATCTTCTGGCTGCTTTTTGATGGTTCTCTTGTACCAAAAGTAACGAATTGAACTCCCGATTTTCCTCCGCGCGCTCTGGTTTTTCAACGCATAGCTTCATCCAAATTCATAGTCTTATTCAAGAGGAGCAGAGGAACGAATTCGACTGGATGGAGTTCGAGGCAGAGATTGATCGCTTGCCGATTGACCTTCTGGCTCATATTTTTGCGATGATCAAGTCCTTCACTGATTTGGCCCAGTAATTGATGTCAATTTTTTCCGCTTTTTAGTTCGATTTCTTTGGTTGTTGTTTGTTCCTGTTCCTGATTGAGGAAGCGCAGGGCCAGCGGCGTGTGCAGGAAATGGAAGGAGGGAGTCAAACTGTCTCTAGGTAGCAGGGAGAGTTTGAGCTTTGCTGGTTGGAAGATGGATGATGACTCCACTGCTCGCCTCATTCGCCATGCCTACAGTCTTCGAGAGCTCGACATGTAATCTCTAGAATTTCTGTTTGCTTAAGAAATTTTCTTCAGGTTACTTTTCTTTTAGTAGCTTCTGATTACAGAGGGTTAAATTTGATACTGGTGTTGCGAGCGGTCTCATGAAGTGAGTTTTGCGAAATCACAAGGATTAACGATTGAATTGGATTTCAATTCTCATTTCCTGTCTATCATTATTCAGGCAATTCGGTTAGAGGTTTCTTTTAAGATTGATAGGATGTTGTTTGGGCATATTCTCTGGTGAAAGTTCTTTAAACTTGTACGATGAAGTTCTGTTATATTCTTAATGGTATTGGTTCGTGTTTTTGGTTGATCTTAACGACGCTTAATCTTATTCTTAAATTAAGGGCCATTACCATTATCAGAGTAACTCAATCGAGAACAAAATTGTGTTAAAAATAAATTTTAGTTTCTGAAATCGTGACCAATATTTGAGCACCATTTCCAAACTGCACGGCCATGAATGCCTTTGTTATTACTATGTTCACTCGAGCAAAATTCCTAGCTCTGGCTTGAATTGGCTAATTCATCATTCTCTTGTAATTTGTAATGTGTGTTTTTCAGCTCAAGAAGCCGCTGGGGTTGCCAAATAACTGACGCTGGATTGTGCAAAATTTCTCTTGCAAAGTGCATTCCCAACCTCACGTCCGTTTCGCTATGGGGTATGGCGGGGATCACTGACAAGGGCGTTGTGCAGCTGGTATGCTAATCTTTTCTCAGACTGAATATGCCTAAAGAAAAGAGCTGTTGAAACCGGTCTTAATGTCTGAATTTAAAGTTTGAGTTTAGGTTGAAATTGGACGAGTGAGTTTCTGTAAATTTTACTTGGGCTAGGATTCTGGTGTGCGGCGTTAGTATTCATACCGTTAATGTCGATGATGATGATAAATAGTTGAAATTTGGCAATCCTGTTTGTATCTTCATTGTTGGTTTGCACCAATGTATACTAGGTTAAGACATCTTCTGGTCCTGAAGTTCATGTTCTTCAAGGAATTTAGGAGCTCTTTTTGAACATCGATTTTCTGTTTCAAAATTTTCCTCAAGGTCAAGGTTTGTACATGATTTTGGAAATACTGCTCCACTTGTTCTCAAAAGTAGTTCTTTCATAAATGTTCTTACTTCATTTTTGTTCTAAAAATCAGAAAACTGGAAAGCTGTTTTTGAAACACCTCCTTAGCTCTGCCTCTCATATTTCACTCCATTTTTTCAACATTTCATTTGGTTGTGCTGTATTCCCAGATTTCCCGAGCGAATTCCTTGCTAAACCTGAACATCGGCGGTACCTTTGTTACGGATATCTCCCTATTTGCAATAGCAGATAACTGTCCAAATTTAAAGGTGATTTTTCCAAGAACCTCCTTCACTTCCATTACCAAATCTGGTGAAAATTACGAATAGAATTATACACATACATCCTGCACAATCTTCAACCCGTGCATTTCTTTCTTTCTTCTGCAGACCATTGTCCTCTGGAGCTGTCGCCATGTAACAGAGAGCGGGCTTCTTGTTCTCGTAAGCAAATGTCGCAAACTCCAGTCAATAAACGTTTGGGGAATGAGGGTTCCTGTAGACTGCTTCATTGGTTTGGTTGCTATAAGTCCAGCACTCCAAATAAAATCAAGAGGCCTGCTTCTGAATTCTAGGTGGCCTGTTGTGTGAGACAATGCTCAAATCTACKCATCCTGTAAAGCTTCTTTTGTATGTAAGTTTCTATCTTTGTAATTACATCTCATTCCACTAAAATATGGATTTGTCATTGTTCCTCCAATAAGCTGTATTATAGCAGTTACAGTTCATTTATAAAACTGCATTCTCCTGGTGTAAATATAAAGGTATGTAAGAACAAGCTTGTTTATTTTTGGAATAGATATCATTTTATTGCCATGGTCTCATTCTCATAAATAAATTTTCTTGGTTCCTTAACTTCAAAAGATTTGGCCACTAATTATTATTGTCAGTAAATATATCATCCAAAGTGTACACGTACTTATTAAATGTATTATTTAATTAGGACGAAGACTAGTTCAATAATGTTTTCATTCATATTTAATTTTTTTTCATCTTTTTTTAATTGAGGAGTTTGATAGCTATTTTTTGTACTTTTTTTTATTGAAAAAAACATGTATTTGTAATCTTTTCTTATTTCTTATTTTCTAAAGTCTTAAATATTAAAAAAGTAATTTTTAAAATTAAATATTCAAATTCTTTATCTTATAAGCATTTTATAAGTAAAAAATAATTAAATAATACTTTTATTTATGTTTGAGAAAAACTGGAAACAGGAAAAATTTTGATTTTGTTGTTTTTGAAATTTCAACACAATTTTAAAAACATTTCTAAAAAATAAAAAATGAAGCTTATATTTCTAAAAATCTAAAAATGAGAAATAAGAAACTAAACATTAACAAATAGAGTTTACATAACAAAATTTCATATTTTGTTCTTTTAGTGCATCTTATTGTAGCATTTATGTATTTAAACTCTGATGAGTTTCTTCGATCAAATAATATTTTACTTTCATATATATGCACATATATAAAAAGTAAATGAAACTTTTTCCATCAATTTAAACAGAACCACCTTTTTCTAGTGCCTGAACCCCGAAATCGATATCGACGAGGAATCGTTGGCATTAACAGGTATATAAAGTTTGTGAATATGTTGGTATTTTGAATCTCTCAAAGGAGCTTCTTTAATGAGATGGCTTTACTAGCAAGCTGCATTTTGATGCTAAAATGAACTGACTGACACAATATAACAAATAAGATTGGGAAGCAAACTAGGACAAACAGAAGGATATTAAGTATTCATCAACATAATCCTTGCATTTACAGCCACTCATGCCAACACCCTTTCACTTTCCTCCAATCAAACCTGGAATAGAGAGAGATGAAACTTGATAATCGTAGATCGTAAAACGAACAGAATACAAAGAACATGCACATTTTACATGGAAAAAGAAACTATGGCTGAGGAGACAATTAATTATGATTACAGTTATTTTCTTTTATTGGAAATGATATTTCATTGATGAGATGAAATATACAAATGACAATGGCGAAGCCAAAAAGCTTCAAAGGGAT